CAAGCAGCATTGATCTCGATATCCTCCATGCTCCATTCTAAAGTTTTCAGCTCTGATCATAGTTTAAAGAGAGTACCGTTGAATGAAAGGTCACAGAATTACAACGGCTTATTCTTTAAGTCCTGTGGTTTCTTTTCAAAAACTTTATTGATCAAAAATATAAACGAGAAATATTGACAATTAATCTACACGAGGTAGAAGGGTGATTACAAAAAAAGACTATTATGGGCTATGGCATAAGTGTAGTTTTGATTAAGGGAATCAAAAAAAATTAATTTTGCAAAATTTGGGGGGGGGGAGGATGTATGAGAGATCGTATGAAAGGTACATTTAAGGCTAGAATAGGCTGTACATCTTGTATTCTACAATTAAAATAAGAAAATGGACAAAAATCCCTGTGGTTTCTAATGAGAACATTTTCTCATCTCTCTTAAAGGTTAAATCGGCGTGAAACGCAAACAAAGCTTTCTAGATTTTATCTAAAATTGTCTCACTGTAAATATATCTAGTTATACAATCATGTACCATACACAGTGCCAACAACTAAGAAAAGAATTCAAATGACAGGTCGTCTTCAAGGCATCATTATAGTTTCAGTAGAAGTAAATATTTCCATTTACTGTTATAGCGCCGACATAAGGATTTATCTCTAATTGGATGATTAAATAGATAAAATTAAAGATGTTACCGCCATGCAATTATTATTGGTTCAGAATAGACACCAAACACATGGCTGAACCCTGATTGGATCATGCGCTAATGCACCCGGCGGGCCGGCTTACTATGGTGGCATAATTGATATATCAGCCATTAAAATCAAAATCCGTAACAAAGTTTTTACTAGCTTTTGAACGATGACTTAAATTCCGCATTCATTTGTTCTTTACAAAAATGATCCTGAAACCAACATTTAGAATTTAAAATTTTGAAGTATCTTAAGAAAAGAAATTGAGTCTTTGCCACAACCTCTGAATTTCTTATCCCCATATCTTTGCAAACCAATGTCGTAGACCTTAGATATTTCAAATTATAAACTCTGTTACACCACAAGGTTGCAAAGATATAAGGATTAGACAGTTTTAGTTTGTGGCAAAGACTCAACTTGTGTAGTCCTTCTAAATTGACAAGTCTTATAGGGACTGTATAGCACTGTAATCTTACTTGGTGTAAATGTTAGTCAATCAAGCTATCCCATGCAGAATATGTTCAAATAGTTTACAAATTGTCGTAGAAGTTGGTTAATTAAGAACTCATAAGACTATTTAATTGTATAGTACGCCCATTTCATTGGCGTACTTAAACCTACTGTTGGTGGTTTAGATTTTAGACGCCATTGTTGATGTTTACATTGTCAAACTTTTTTCCTTGAACTCTTATTTGGGATTGTTTATTATTTAAATCCAGGGACCCTCCAATTATAGAGCGGCACGGAGATATCAATGATTTCTCTTCTAAAAATGGTTATTTCGAATTTTGGTTTCTCAATAAAGTGACTTCACAGAAAAAACTGAGTAAATTGTCAGAATTTAACATTTTCCAGTTAGAATAATGACATTTCTATACACAGGCTTAAAGGCCGGGTACCGTTGTGAATGGGGTATTGACCTCTTTAAATGGAGGGTCACTTACTGCATTTACAGTCCCTTTAAGTTATGCATTCTTAATACAATAATTCATATAATTTATAACAAAATAAACATTAGGAGGGGAAACCATTCTAAAGATGGAGGGAGGAATAATATTTTATACAACAGAAATATCCGGCCCTGTATTCATCTTAGATGACTCACACAGAGAATCTTTAGAGACTATATACTATAGATATATTAGGAAGTATGATTTTATGCATCTTTCACGAGGCTTCTTTTACCCGGTTTTATTTTCAAATTTCAGGGGTAAATATATTTTCATATTTCAGGGGTAGATATATTTTCATATTTCAGGGGTAGATATATTTTCATATTTCAGGAGTAGATATATTTTCATATTTCAGGAGTAGATATATTTTCATATTTCAGGGGTTAATATATTTTCCTATTTCAGGAGTAGATATATTTTCATATTTCAGGGGTTAATATATTTTCCTATTTCAGGGGTATATATATTTTCATATCTCAGGAGGGTAGATATATTTTCATATCTCACGAGTTGATATGTATTTTCATATTTTAGGGGTAAATATATTTTCATATTTCAGGAGTAGATAAATTTTCATATTTCAGGGGTAGATTTATTTTCATATTTCAGGGGTAAATATATTTTCATACTTCAGGGGTTGATATATTTTCATATTTCAAGGGTTGATATATTTTCATATTTGACTGCTTCTCTTTATTTCCATGTTTATGTGTATTCCAGGCGGTTTGAACAATCTTTGTTAGACATTTTTTTAAAATGGGAAGTCGTCTTAATTGTATTGATATAAACGACGACGACTGTATTTTATGAGTATTTAGCACTTCTGAAACATCAAAAACACATTGCACTTGCGTGTACGATTGTAAATGGTAAATAAGTCATTGATTAGGTTTAAACGTAAAGAAAACTTTCATGTTGAACCTCAATCAATATGTTTTCAACATATTTTATTTAAAACTTCATACTCTCTTGTCATACTTCATACTTCATATTTTTATTTTCAAAATTCCTCTCCAAGGATGAGAAACTGTAATGACGACCGAAGTTCGGAATTTATGAATAATGCGAGCTAGTTAAACTTATTAACTCTGCTAGATTATCTATCTCTATATATTCATAAATTCTCATCTTAGGATATCACTATCACCACATAGCCGGCCAAACGGCTGGACCGAATGGGCTGAAATTTTTTGTGGACACTCATTGGAGGCCGAGAGGGTGTTATAGGCTTTAAAAAATCGAAATTTTTATTTTTTTCTTTCTTTTTAATAATTTTTTTCTATTTTTTTCACGGGCAACTGCGGGCACTTCAGCTAGTGATTTATAAATAAAGGGATTTAAAACCGTACAGTCGTCCTTGAAGTTTATGAGAATTCTTGAGCCAGAAATTAACTAATTACTCTCCTCATACTTTAATGTTATACACCGTATATCTTTGCTACTTGGTGTCTATAGACCTATGAATTCTGGTCAAAAAGCTAAAGTTTAAAATATCTAAGGTGTACACAATCAGGTTACAGACATAAAGGATAAGAAAATTAGAGTCTGATGTTAGTGTTCAGTTTCTTAAAAAGAAAAATATGTACAAAATTTACTATATTATACATATATAAAGTTTTAACCTCCGTTTGTTTGTCAGATCATAACTCATGAACCCCTTGACCGATTTGCCTCAAACTTTGTTTGGGTAACTCGGTAACAACGGGAATTTTCTTGGCTTTGTTTTAAGATTCTAAATTCAGTGGGTCCGCTTTAATATGGAAAAGTAGCTAAAACTGTAATTTACGACCAAGTGCGGGTAAACGGTGGGAGTAACTATGAGTACCCTGGGCAACGCTAGTATATAATAAACAAACAAAATAGTCATATTTAAAAGCTTGAATTCGGTTTCATGAACAATTCCATTTCTTAACTTTTGGACTCTCTGTAGGATTAAGTTTGAATTTCCTCCCGTTGGGTTTAATCCTTTAATTTTGAAGAAGATATTTCCAACTTCAGACTGGTTTTGTAAGTGCATTAAATTGTATAAAAAATGCTTGTCATACAATTCCATCTCTAGATAAACGGAGATTATGTTGTAAACAAAATATAAAGGATTTAAAATAAGTTTTTTATCCCATTTACAGAATCTTTTTTTTCTTCATTATTTCCACCCTAACAATAGAAGCTGATTTAATCGTAAACCATGTTTTTCTAAACATCAAACTTTATTCCAATATTTGTAAAAAAAAAACTGTGTGAAGGTTCTAAATGAGACTATAAAACTATTCGAAATTAATTTCTTCTATTTGTTCCCTTAAGATATATATCCATAGATAAATATCTATGTATATATCTCGATACCTCGAAATTCGTAAATTAGAACAAGAAAATCTGCGAAATTTTCTGTTTTATACTGTTTTTGTTTTATCAAATCATGTCTCTTAGTTTGATTTTGGGTTTGTTTGCACCTAACAAACTTCAAAACGGCCGAACCGATCGGATTCAATGATATCACTCCAAATTCACAAAGAAAGAAAATGTGCGAAATTTGAATGTTTTTTGCTTTTTTAACGCCAAAGTCTAAACTGATAACTAAGCTGAAAAACAAAAAATTGTCAATTTTGTATGCTTAGGCTTAAATATATATAAATATATAAAATATAGTGTTATTAGAATGAATAGAAAGAGAGAATACCATCTATTTTAGGAAAATGGCTGACACTAAGATTTTAGTTTTACTATACAGATCCTGAATTAGTTTCAAACTAGAATTTATATTTATCTGACTGCTCCCCCCCCCCTCCTAGGCTACCCCTTACACACACATTTGTATATGCACAAAAAGGAAAAGAAACTAAAATAAAACCTTGGAATAATATTAGCTCCAAAGAACTTACAAAAGAAAGATTTTCTATGTATTTTTAGCAAGGTTTTTATTTTGGTAGTTTTATGTCAATAAAGGGGCGGTTCCCTGTTTTTTAACTGGTAATATAATAATAAAAATGTCGGGTCTGTCCTAGAGAATGCTTTTTTGGATAGGAAGGGTGGAGGGGGACAGGGGGGGGGTCCAAAATGTATTCTCTAGGAAATTACCAAAATGCTCAGCGCATGCTGCAGCCCGTATATTTGGTCATTAAGTGCACTGTGCAGTCATTTTTTAGCTTAGTTTATAGAACAAAAAAAATATCCAGTGTAATACAATTTCATTCTGTCATTGTCATGATTATTTGCATTAATGTTATGGCATGACAAAAATATAATTAGTTATAAAGCAAAACTGAAAAGTTGTCGAAATTTTTGCTCAATTTGTACAAAATGGATTATATCAGTTGCCTAAGAATTAAAATATGTAGAAATTATGTAATTCGACTATTTTCCAGGTATGTAGAAGTGTACAGGAACCAAGACCTTGATAACTATCCACTGTTGTTAGCTGGTGGTTTACCAAAATTCTGTCCAATTTTGGCAGATTTTTCCCCTCGTTCCGCGCATTTCAGTTCATGGGACAACCGCGCCAGAGTTTCCGACTGTTCCTCAGCTGTGAGCAGGGGTTCATTCGGATGTTTCCCAGATTTCTTCAGTAGCTTGTTTTTTTGCAACCCTCTTTTTTTTTACAGGAAAGTTATCATCTCAAACATAAAATTTCACTATTCTATAAGATGAAAATAAGGAATTGAGTCTTTGCCACAAACTTAAATTTTCTAATCCCTCTATCTTTCGCAACCTGATGGTGTAAACCTTAATATTTCCAACTTAGATTATTTTATGTAACAGAATAAATAGCTTCAAATATCTAAGGTCTCCGACATTGGGCTGCAAAGATATAGTGATTAGAAAATCAGAGTTTGTGGCAAAGACTCAATTCCTTTGCAAGTAGCTTAAAAATCAACATTTTAAGTGAAATAGGTCTATTTTCATTAAACAGTGGTTTTTTCATGTACATTATACCATTTATAATCATAACTTGAGTCTTTCAGTCGTACTCCACAGTCTTTATGTAAGAGTAAGATAAACTGAGTTTGAATTGTGGAATTGTATAATTATATTGGTTATTATGCTTGACAGATAGATATTTTCCGAATAAATCATTGTATGAAGTAAATACTAAAATACAAACATACGACTAATAGTTTCGAATAAGTCCAGGTAAAAGCTTCCATACTTCGGAACAACTCTAAAAAATCTAAATTCTTTATCTAACCAGATGATACTTTTTTTGTAGAGGGTTTTGTAGTGGTATCTATACCAAGCCTCAGGATAAATATGACCGAGGTTTGTAAACCACTATCCTGGCATCAGCCTAGCTCACGTAGTTTAACAAGTAGTTTAGGGAGGTCGTCTTCAACTCCCGTCTAGAATATATTAATAGAACAATGGTTAAAAAGAAGAAGGATGAGCCGGATGATCGGGGGCCAACATCCTTGTTCCTTTTTACGCCGACCAGCCCGGTGCGCCGGCTCATGACCTGGCTGGTCAACTGGCCTCCCTTCGAGTGGATAATTATCCTGACCATCATGGCCAACTGCGTGGTGATGGCGCTGGACGACAAGCTGTCCAACAACGACAAGTCAATTATGTCTATCAAACTGGTAAGAAAATTGTAATTTTAGTTATTTCCCTCCTAACCCCTATGCACAAGAATCATAGTTTGGGTTAATATAATTCTATCCCCTAAAATGCCGCCAACTATTTCAAAGATCAAAGACTATTGTAAAGTGGTCTGATTAATGTCAATAAATTCTGATTCTTTGTGAATATCACTGTATACAATCTGTGGAAAAGTACAACTTTCTCCTAAAATTAATAATCAATAGTCATAGTATTGTGTGTCTGGGTAGATAACCTCATTGTAAACTAAAATATTTTAGGATTCAATATTCCTTCAAAATTAAACATAGAACCAAGCACTTTATAGATTTAAAATATATGTGTGGGTTGTCATGTCTAACCAAGGGTCTGGCTATATTCTTTATTTGTATTGTTATATATATGGTAAATATGTCATTAATTAGGTTTAAACTTATAGAAAACTTTCCTCTTCAACCTCAATTAATATGGTTTTCAACATATTTTATTCTTGTCATACTTTTTTTTTAAGTCTTAAAAGTTACTGCATAGTTTTCAAATCCGTCTAGATCGTTGTAAAAGTGGCAAGTACAGCTAAAACATTTCAATTAAAGGGTGAAAAAAAACATTCAAAATTATTTAGCTTTCTGTTGTTGTAAAAACTAGTTTTTCCTCTACACTGTGTAATAAAATAATAGCAGAGTAATTATAAATATGGATATTAATAATAAAGGGTCCGCCTGTGTATGTATACATTACTTAGTAATATATCATATACTAGAATACATTTGGAATAACAAATATATCCCAATTACCCCATTTAAACTGTTTACATTGTACTTGCAAGCAGTAAATGTTTTAAACAATGCATGTTATTAACCTGCACAGTAAACATAAGCGATTCAAACATGTTTATTAAAGGGACTGTAAGCTTAATTTCAAGTGGCCCTCCATGCAAAGATGGCAGTGCCCGATTCACAACGGTAACCTTAAAAGCTTTGTCTGATCAAGTAGGTCGAATTAGATATCTATGTTGAAAGAAAATTTCAAAAAATGATTATTTTTAATTGTGGGTTTTCTTCAAAAGTGACTGTTTTCTACTGTTGGAAAACATCCGAATTTAGACCTATAAAAACTACAATACCTTCCACATTATTGATCAGATAAAGGTTTCAAGGGTAACGTTTTGAATCGGGCATTGTCATCTTTTCTCTAGAAATTACGCTTATAGTCCGTTGTAAGAAAGTTTTCACATATTTGAGCAAAAGGGAAACAACGTTAATTATCTCTTTGAATCGAGAAGACGACATAAGCCCAAATATACGAGTAAAATTTGAAAGTGTCATAGAATTTCTATATTTGTTTGTTGCCCTTGTTTTTAAAACGTTTGTTTTCTTCTCCCAATTAATAGATCCAGTAATCTAGGGGATATTCTTTTCTTCTTAGCAATAGGCAACCCAAGCAATAATGCTTGTATAGATATGGGATTATAATTTTTAATTGGACTGTATACGTAGTTTTATGTCGTCATCCAATCATAAAGTGACATGTCTGATTCACAACGGTACTTGACGATAGTATGATCGTAGTTTTAAATTGTAGTTACTATGAAGAGAAATTACCGGCGGATTTCTACAGAACAAATTGAAAAGTTCTCAGAATTGAACAATTTTCAAACAAGAAAAACGACGATATTATCCAAATTTTTTATCAGATAAAGGGAACCGTTGTAAATCGGGTAGATCCTTTCTTATGAAGGGTCAATTGAAATCACAACAAAGACATAAGTTAAGTGACAGTTAACCGGGGGTAGAGCTAGATTGTTTGGTTTTTGTTTAAAACCCTTAATTTTGTTCTTACCTAAAAATTCTGGCCCTTGCTATAGAATTGTGAGGTTGGATGAGTAAAAAATGGCGAACAATTTCCCTGTTAACCCGCCAAATGTATTTAAACTTTATCTCTATCGTAGGAGGAGCTGGAGTTGGTTTTCATGATCGTCTTCACTACGGAGATGTTAACGAAGATTCTAGCGTTGGGATTCATGCTGCACAAGGGAAGCTACATGCGTAATCCGTGGAACTTCATGGATTTCTTCGTTGTCACGTCAGGGTAAGCAAATCAGCTGATTCGGAAATCTTCGAAAGAACATTCTAGAATTTAAAAAAATTTTATTGTATATTTTCCTCAGTAAATTTTATATCCTACCACGTTGCCAAGGGTTTGTCAATAAGGCATTTATTTAGAACATCCATCATAATTACAGGCTTGGCACCGTTTAAACTTGCTAAGAGTTTCAGATTTATAAATTTAATTATTCATTTCCTTCAACCACTCAGTTCTCAAAAGCTCCTAAGAGTTTTAAAGCTATTCTTATTAGTTTCTTAATTCTTCTGTTGTATCAGGTTCCAAATTCCTATTCTATACAAGTTCTCAATCTTTTCCTTTCTTTAGGTTCCTAATTCTTCTTTGAAATTAGGTTTCCAATTCCTCTGTAAAATATAAGGTTATCAATTCCGCCCTTGTAGCGGGTTCCGAATTCCTGCCTTTTATTAGGTTCCTAATTCCTCCATTGTATAAGGTTCCTAATTCCTCCATTGTATAAGGTTCCTAATTCCTCCATTGTATAAGGTTCCTTCCTCCCCTTTCTATTAAGTTCCTAATTCCCCCCTGTTTCAAAGCGTCAAGTTCCCAATAACATGTATCGAATTCCCTATATATATTTCATATAATTCTTCCTTTCTGTAGATCTCTCTACCTTGAGAACTTTCAGAGTTCTCCGTCCTCTCAAACTTGTCTCCGGAGTTCCAAGTAAGTAGCTGAATACTAAACTCGGAGCTAAAAATAGACCTTGATTTATTCTGAATTCTGATGTTGTAAAGTGAGATTTTGCACAATATTTGATTCATCAGATACATCAGACTACAAAGAGAATTCAGTACTCCTTCTCTTGCAGGGACGTACACTTTAAATATATGATAATATATATACATACACTTCAGAGACATACACTTCAGAGACATACACTTCACAGACATACACTTCAAAAACATACAAATTTGGATCTCTGTACATTAAATGAGTTTCAGGTTGCTATTTAATTCTCTTGCTTTGTAACAGTTGATATTAGACGAAAAAAACTTGCAAAATAGAATCTCTCACTTATGCCGTTCTTATTTGCTTAGACTTTTTTCTTTGACCGATAAGTAAAAAAACTATGAAAATGTCCACAAAATAGTAAACATAAAGTACATATTACATATATATATGATTATAAGTTGTATCATGTATATCTACAAAGAATTGTTGTATGTAAATATTCACTATATTCTCCGAGTTCTCAACCTGTAATTTCATTATGGTTGGGAAGGGGGGGGGGGGCTTCTTCCTCCTTCCTCCCCCTCATGCCTCCCCTCGGATCGAATGTATGTGATAAATCAATCCGCGTTGTTCTGACCTGGATGGAATATCCTATGATATATATCCTCCAATATGTCAAACCAAGAATTGAGAAAATATCGCGGTCTGAATTTGTCTCCGGGTCCCATAAAATACATGGGTACAGAAGAATCTGGGATACAGGAGTATAAATAAGTTGGGTCTGCAGAGTTGTAATAAGTTTGTTGGGCATAATTTGATTTCTCCGGTCCATTAGTTGGTGATTACAGATAGCATTGTCGGGATTCTGGTACTGAGAGAGAGATCTTGATATAATTAAATACTGCAGTATTAGGGACCTGGGGTTAGGGACTAGGAAGAGGGGGTTGGGAACTAGGGACCAGGGGATAGGGACTATGGACCAGGTGTTAGGTAATATGGAACAGGGACCAGGGACTATGGATTAAGTATTAAGGTATTAGGAACTAGGGATAAGGGACCTGTTGGGAGTATTGATCAGAGACCAGGGGTGAAAGACTAGAGATCATAGAGTAGGAGTGAGGGACTAGAGATCAGAGACCAGATGTGAGGGACTAGGGATCAGAGACCAGTTATTAGGGACTAAAGATTAGAGACCAGGGGTGAAAGACTAGAGATCATAGAGTAGGAGTGAGGAACTAGAGATCAGAGACCAGATGTGAGGGACTAGGGATCAGAGACCAGTTATTAGGGACTAAAGATTAGAGACCAGGGGTGAGGGACTAGGGATCAGATACCAGGGATGAGGGACTAGGGATAAAAGACCAGGGATGAGGGACTAGGGATTAGAGACCAGGGGTGAAGGACTAGGGATCAGATACCAGGGATGAGGGACAAGGGACAAGAGACCAGGGATGAGGGACTAGGGATAAAAGACCAGGGATGAGGGACTAAAGATTAGAGACCAGGGGTGAAGGACTAGGGATCAGATACCAGGGATGAGGGACTAGGGATTAGANAAAGACAATAATATCAAGACGATATAAACCAGGAAACGACAATATAATCCAGAAAAAGACAATTTTATTCAGGAAAAGACAATATAATCTAGGACAATACATTATAATCTAGAAAAAGACAATATAATCTAGGGAAAAAAAAACAATATAATCAAGGAAAAGCCAATATAATCTAGGAAAATACAATATTATCTAGGAAAATACAATATAATTTAGGAAAAGACAATATGATCTAGGAAAATCCAATATGATCTAGGAAAAGCCAATATAATCTAGGAAAATACAATATAATTTAGAAAAAGACAATATAATTTAGGAAAAGACAATATAATCTAGGAAAAGACAATATAATCTGGGAAAAGACAATATAATCTAGGAAAATACAATATAATCTAGGAAAATACAATATAATCTAGGAAAAAAACAATTTAATCTAGGAAAATACAATACAATCTAGGAAAAGACCATATGATCTAGGAAAAACAATATAATCTAGGAAAATACAACATAACCCAGGAAAAGACAGTATAATCAAGGAAAAACAATATAATCTAGGAAAAGACAATATTATCCAGGAAAAGACAATTTTATCCAGGAAAGACAATATAATCTAGGAAAATACAATATAATCCAGGAAAAGACAATATAATTTAGGAAAATACAATATAATTCAGGAAAAGACAATATAATCTAGGAAAAATAATATAATCTAGGAAAAGACATTCTAATCCAGGAAAAGACAATTTTATCCAGGAAAGAAAATATAATCTAGGAAAATACAATATAATCCAGAAAAAGACAATATAATCTAGGAAAAACAATATAATCCCGGAAAAGACAATATTATCTAGGAAAAGATTATATAATCTAGGAAAATACAATATAATCTAAGAAAAGACAATAAAATTTTAGAAATGACAATATAATCTAGGAAAAGGAATAAACTATATTCAGTCTATTAGAAAGAAAGTAAATTGTACATTCTATCAACAAATAGAAAGTATAATCTATCTAGTAAGAAGAAAGTATAATCTAGAAAGAAAAAAAGTAAATCTAGGAAAAATCAAGTATAACTTATCTAGGGGAAAAAAGTATATTCTAGCAAGGAAATAAAAAGTATATTCTATCGAGGAAATAAAATGTATAATTTATCTAGGAAACAGGAAGTATAATCTTGGAAATAGAAAGCATATTCTATCTAGGAAAATTGTTGTGTATTCCATCTAGGATAAAGAAAGTACATTCTATCGAGGAAAAAGAAAGTATTTTCTATCTAGAAAATAAAAAGTATAAACTATTTAGGAAAAATAAAGTATATTCTTTCTAGAAAAAATAAAGAATATTCTTCTTAGTATAGTAAGGTAAATTCTATCTAGGAAAAATAAAGTATAATCTATCTAGGAAACAGAAAGTATAATCTAGGAAAAAGAAAATATATTCTATTTATGAAATAGAAAGTGTATTCTATCTAGGAAAAAGAAAGTATAATCTGAGAAACAAGAAGTATAATCTAGGAAATAGAAAGTATATTCTATTTATGAAATAGAAAGTGTATTCTATCTAGGAAAAAGAAAGTATAATCTAGGAAAAAAAAGTTTATTCTAGGTGGTGAAAGAACTAGTGCTTAAATGGATTATATATTGTCACCTTGTATTCCCTGTATAGAGTGTATTGAAAACAAATAATTTAAGATTTATCTTATACCATCCTTCGATCTAAATATCCGGGTATAAATAGGTCAGGGAGGGGAACGGAAACACATCAAGTATACAAGGGATACCTTAACTAAATTCTAACCAAGAGAGAGAATAAAATGAATCATCCATGATATTCCATGCTTTATTCGTAATTGGAGCAAACATGAAACAAATCTAATTACAAAAATGTTCATCACAAAAATGATACTGATAAAACTGATAAAACTGATTGAATATATTATTTTCTTTGCCAGTTAAAATTCAGAAAAATGTGTCTTTATGTATTTATAAACTACCACATTTTTTGTGAATTTAAGGATTTCTTAAATTAGGTTAAAAGAAGTAAACTTTTGATTAACATAATTCAACAAAATTATTTACTTCTTCCATACTTCCTCTGAAGTGTCTTACTGTATAGCTAGCTCTAGTCTCCTCTGGAGCTTGGATCTTTAACCCACCAACCCTCTAACATATGTCTCCCCTTCCTTGAAGCTAAAAATTACAAAATTGTCTTTACATCTTTAAATAAAATGTTTTCTTTAGATTAAAGAAAAGGAACTGTTTACTGTGTACCCTCCTTTCTTGATGATTTATTAAACATATATTACAATCCTACGCTGGATGAAATATAATAAGGAAGAAAGACACAAACTTTGCTGGGTTCTCCTCAACTCCTGCTTGGAATTCAGATCAGGGGGCTAGTTGGAGAAACCTAGATCTGGCATACAACCAGGAGAAACCTAGAAGCAAGAATACAAAAAGGAGAAAACTAGAACCAGACAAACAACCAGGAGAAAATTAGAACCAGGCATACAACCAGGAGAAAACTAGAACCAGGCATACAACCAGGAGAAAACTAGAACCAGACAGCAACCAGAAGAAGAGTAGAACGGATACAATTTATTCAACAGCATGGTTTCCTAATTCCCCCAGGATATCAGAGAAGAACGGATACAACCTATTCAACAATGTTGGCTTGGCAAATCCCGTCATTAAAGTGTTAGTTTAAAGAATATATCTATGTAAAACTATGTACTTTAATTATAAATATATATCTATCTATCTATCTAACTACATGGTATCCTAGTTCCCCAGGATATCAGAGAAGAAAGGATACAACCTATTCAACAGCATGGTTTCCTAGTTTCCACAGGATATAAGAGAAGAAAGAATAGAACCAATTCAACAACATGGTTTCCTAGTTCCCCCAGGATATCAGAGAAGAAAGGATACAACCTATTCAACAACATGGTTTCCTAGTTCCCCAGGATATCAGAGTAGAAAGGATAGAACCTATTCTACAACATGGTTTCCTAGTTCCCCAGGATATCAGAGAAGAACAGATACAACCTATTTAACAACATGGTTTTCTATGGTTTTTCCAATGGTTACCAGAGTATAAACCTATTCAATAATATTGGTTTCTAGTTTGATTTTGGATGCCACCAAAATANCCACCCCCATCGCTTGTTGTACTAATCTGGGCTTGAAACTTTATTGATATAAATCCCACTCAGCTTGCCTCGGGTTCAGAGAATATTAGAATAATATTTGGGGAGGTTTCAAGGCTTATGGAGGACTAAGGGATGATACAAGTAAATCTATCCATATTGTGATATATTTATTTAGCTAAGATATATTATATATTAAATATATTTGACACTTGATATATCAAGCCAGGAGAGATAAATGTAATCCTAAACATATTTTGAAACGTAATGCCACTTTAAAGAGACAACAAATTATGAATATGAGACGCCCAAGATATTTTAGATATTGAACGCAGGAAAAGTGGATAATACTCTTATCAAAAATGTAAAAATGTTCATATAAACTAATTATAGAGAGTAAACCTTTAATACTTCAAACTTAGATTATTTGGTCTAACAGAATTTATATAGTTTGAAATATCTAAGGTCTAGGACATTGGGTTGCAAAGCAATAAGAATTAAAAAATCTGAGTTTGTGGCAAAGGCTCAATTTCTTTCCCTAAAAAGTTAGTACTAAAATACCACGATGTTTATAGACACTTGCTTATTTAAAAACCAAAAAATTAACTATTTAATTATAATAAATATTAACATTATACCATTATGAAAATATCTATATGTGACTGAGTATAGTTTGGTTGAATACCAGGGTTTGAAGGAAAGGTTTATAATAACATGCAATTAATAATTATATATAGAAGCTTGTCTACTTAGCCTAAAACTTGTATACCACTGCACCAAATCACAGCGTTACTTCATGTTTTAATTGTATACTGAAAAGTATTCCGCGGACATGTAAATCACTTTAAAAATAAAAATGTCGAAAACAAAAAATTTTTAATTAATTTTTCAATCAGCTCCCAACTCTATGAATGTCTAGGGTAATCAGCTCCTAACTCTATAATTATCTAGTTCAATCAGTTCCTAATTCTCTAATTATCTAGGTTAATCAATTCTAACTTTATGATCATCTAGGTTCATCAGCTCCTATCTCTATGAATGTCTAGGTTAATCAGTTCCTAACTCTATGATTATCTAGGTTAATCAGTTCCTAACTCTTTGATTATCTAGGTTAATCAGCTTCTAACTATATGATTATCTAAGTTAATCAGCTCCTAACTCTATCAATGTCTAGATTAATCAGCTCCTAACTCTATGATTATCTAGGTTAATCAGCTCCCAACTCTATGATTATCTAGGTTAATCAGCTCATAATTCTATGATTATCTAGGTTAATCAGCTCCTAGCTCTATAATTATCTAGTTTAATCAGCTCCTAACTCCATGAATATCTAGGTTAATCAGCTCCTAACTCTATGAATATCTAGGGTAATCAGCTCCTAACTCTATAATTATCTAGTTCAATCAGTTCCTAATTCTCTAATTATCTAGGTTAATCAATTCTAACTTTATGATCATCTAGGTTCATCAGCTCCTAACTCTATGATTATCTAGGTTAATCACCTCCTAACTCTATGATTATCTAAGTTAATCAGCTCCTAACTCTATGAATATCTAGGTTAATCAGCTTCCAACTCCATGATTATCTAGGTTAATCACCTCCTAACTCTATGAATATCTTGGTTAATCAGCTCCTAACTCTTTGAATATCTAGGTTAATCAGCTCCTAACTATATGAATATCTAGGTAAATCAGCTCCTAACTCTATGATTATCTAGGTTAATCACCTCCTAACTCTATGAATATCTAGGTTAATCAGCTCCTAACTCTATGAATATCTAGGTTAATCAGCTCCTAACTCTATGAATATCTAGGTTAATCAGCTTCTAACTCTATGAATATCTAGGTTAATCAGCTTCTAACTCTATGAATATCTAGGTTAATCAGCTTCTAACTCTATGAATATCTAGGTTTATCAGCTCCTAACTCTATGATTATTTAGGTTTATCAGCTCCTAACTCTATGAATATCTAGGTTAATCAGCTTCTAACCCTATGAATATCTAGGTTAATCAGCTTCTAACTCTATGAATATCTAGGTCTACAGGTTGTGATGAGTTCTATCGGAAAAGCTATTGGTCCTCTGGTCAACATTGCTCTCCTTCTCTTCTTTGCCGTCCTTATCTTCGCCATCATTGGTTTAGAGTTCTATGCCGGAGCTCTTAACAAAACCTGCTACAGCTTAGATAATTTAGGTCAGTTTTTTATCCAGTCGGAACAAATGTTAATCTCGTTAATCTTGTTAAAAACCACTAATCCGTTCATATTCTAAATCCAAATTTTAATTAAAACGGATTAAAGCTTTTTAAAAAGAATAACCGTTTAAAAATTTAGGAACTTTTACAGGATTAAGCTGAAATATTATTCAGCTTATTATCATTTGGCTTCAGATCAAATTTGTTAGTTGAGAAATTTCTAATGACTAGATCGAGTGTGTTAAGTTTCATAGAAAAATGCAATTGAGTTGAAGTTATAGATGGTCATCGTTTTCAGTAAAACAAGTTACGTAATTAAAAATTATTCTACTTTTTTGAGGGGTGGGTGGGGGGCGGGGGGCTCTCTCATGCCATCACCTTTATATCCTATTATTTCGATTTTTAACACCATTTATAACAGATTAAAAAATATTAGAAAATAAATATTTTTGATATAAATAAATTTATTCATCCTTCATTTATCGAATAAATGGGTTTGCGTAACGAAGTATTGGATTATAAAATTACGGATATGCCATTCCATTCTCATCCCCCCCCTTCCTATTCCTCCTTTCCTACCACCCACTTTCCTACCCCCCCTTTCCTATCCCTCCTTTCTTACCAGCCACTTTCCTACCCCCCCTTTCCTATACCTCCTTTCTTACCAGCCACTTTCCTACCCCCCCCCCTTTCCTCCCCCCCCCCCCTTTCCTATCCCTCCTTTCTTACCAGCCACTTTCCTACCCCCCTTTCCTATCCCTCCTTTCTTAAACCTACTTTCCTACCCCCCCCTTTACTATCCTCCTTTCTTACCAGCCACTTTCCTACCCCCCTTTCCTATCCCTCCTTTCTTAAACCCACTTTCCTACCCCCCCTTTCCTATCCCTCCTTTCTTACCAGCCACTTTCCTACCCCCCCCCCCCTTCTAATTAGTACGATATGTTTATTATTAAATTGTTCCAAAAATATAAAGATTACCCTGTGTCTTTACAAGTTAACATCTATAATTATGTTTAATAGTTCAATAATGATGTTCTATTTGTAAATATTAATGGTTGAAGGGGGATCAACGGTAATTAAAGGGGTTTTTAGTTAATTAATGCATGGTTTAATCGATCTATGGTTTTTACAACAAAAAAAAATAATCAATCTGTGTTTTCATACTTTATTCATTCTATCATAAATGAAGAACCAGAAAACTTTGGAATAGGAAGACGACATTAAAAGCAATAATTCAGTGTATTTGTTGTTGTTGTTGTTTTACTAGAAACTTATTAAATCTTTTATTAAGTGAAATGGGTCGGTTTACACTGGACATTTGCTGTGTACATGAAAACAAACTTATTTCATAATTGCCTTCTACCATACAATCTTATCCAACCGTACTTCCTTATCCAACACCTTCTTATCCAACCATACCTACTTATCCAACCATACCTTCTTATCCAACCATACCTTCTTATCCAACCATACCATCATTTAATCCAACCGTTTTCTTGATCCAATCCCTTATCGAGCCTATATCCTAATATCACTCTATCTGGTTTCCTAATCCCTCCAGTATTAAGTTTGAAGATGATTAACTCTGCATAAGACCGTTCTAAGCATATACAGAGTCAATCCTTTCATCTCTATGCATCATAATCCATCAAACCTTTCTCAGGGTCCCACTTCGAATAGGTGTCCTACAGACCTTTATTATTTTTTCTTTCATTGTCTTCAACAAATAAAAATTTTTTATTTTTTATTTAAACTTTTGTTAGAAAATTTGACAGATAACTCATTAAAAAGTCTTTGTCTTGAAAACCATTATTTATTTCTCTAAGAGCGTACAATTTCTAAATCAACTGTTTTTGGTATCAAATTAGGCGCCATAAAAAGAAAATGGATTCTTTGTTTGAGGATAATTTATCATGGCAGAAAATTATGTGGAAAACTGAACATCTACAGGATTACCCAAAAAAGATGAGACTTTAAAGGGAGTGACCGGCAACGTATGGTAGTTGAACTGAGATTGCAGTATTATTGATTCTCAAAATCATCCCTCCAAAATGTACAATGAATGAGGATTTTAAAGATTGCATTTGCGCTCTTGCTGAACAAATATACACCGCAAAAACGTCTGATAGGTTAAGCCTTAAAAAATTCTCAATAATACTGCAATCTCAGATTAAGTACCATACTTACGGTCACTCCCTTTAATGACGACCTAAACTCTTTAAATAAGACGCTCTGAAGGTTGAGTTTGGCTTACCGCCTTGTATATTATCTTTTAGTTTATTATTTTAACAAAGAAGCGTCAAGTTTCAACTGCTGCAGGGAATACGTGTATAATGTGAGAAAAAAGCCTTAATGATTTCTGTACAGTCGACTCTAAAATTCCATCCTTTCTGGGAATCCCTGTACAGAATAAGGTACACAGAGCCCAAAACTTAAGACAGGGTATCATTGTGAAAACCAGTTTTTAAACCCGGGTTTCACGAATGGGGTAAGGCAGTTTTGTGAATATCAATATTTCTGTTTTGAAATATTATTTTATTTAGTTTATTCATATTCTCGATTTTTTCGAATCTTAAATAAAAATCTACACAAATATTAAGACCCTAAAAAAGGAAACTCGGGAGTATCGTTAAACAAAACTCGGGAGTTTCCTTTTTGGGGTCTTAACATTTATGTAGATTTTGATTTAAGAAATTCGAAAAAAATGGAAAATATAATCAAACTGAAAAACATAATATTTCATAACAAAAATATTGATATTCACAAAATTGCGTAACCCAATTCGTGAAACCCGGGTTTAAAAACTGGTTTTCTTAACGATACCCTGTCTTAAGTTTTGGGCTCAGGGTATCTAAATATCTACATTTAGAGTACAGTTTGTAGTACACTGAAATAAGGTTTTAGTAAGCATCTTATACAAATATGTTTTTTGTAGAAAGATTAGGTACAATAGTTGGAGTACCCTTGCGTTGCCATAGTTTATATAATTATTTATAGTGATTGAAAACCAGCACGGTTTCATATCCGTGAGATTTATATATTTCTGTACATAAATAATATATTTCTGTACATAAATAATATATTTCTGTACATAAATAATATATTTCTGTACATAAATAATATATTTCTGTACATAAATAATCTAGTTTGGAATATTCCAGAGTTTAGTTGTCCGTTGGCAAGTTTTGAAAGTGGCCGGCATTTCTCGAGAAATTTCGAGAAATTTGAAATAAAATTTAGCCTATGTCATCCCCGGGGTATCCACGGGTTCCCTAAAAAAATGTTAGCTTTGGTCCAGCCGTTTGGTCGTATGAGCGAAGAGCTTTATTATATAAATTTTTATTTATTTAATGTTCTTTAGAACTCTTTCAATCTATAGAAGGCAAAATCTTATATTCTCAATTTTAGAAATAATCAAGTTTTATAAGTTTAAAGTTGGAGCAAACAAAAGAAATTCCAGAGCTCAGGACAGGAACATCGGAATGATCTAAACTGATTTGAACGGATTTAAAGAATTAAAGTTCATCTCTTTCCATGGGTTAAACGTTATTTAATAAAGCCAGGTTGATAGAGATTTCGACTAATATTCTTTTGAGGAGAAATAACTTTAACTAATTTAAATCGGTTTAAATCGATTTCGTTCAGTTCTATATTTTTAGCTCATTCTAGGACTAGGTTTGATTTTCATCTTCAAGCCACGGAAGGATCTGGTTTTAACCGTTCAGTCGAGTAGCATAAATTCAAATAGGTTTTGTTAGAGATCAAACCAATTATATCATTAAATCATGAAAATTCAGAAGTTCAACAAAAATGTTGGCCAATCTAAACAATTGAGAAGTTCTGGTTTATGAGCTTCTAATAGCAAATAATTCCATTTTGTTTAGTTTTAATGATTTTTAGACATTTTTATATCTCAATCTTATTTTTTTGTTTGTTTATCATATTGTTTATAAAAACATTAATCCAAAATTTAAAGTTTTGATAGAAAAGCTACCATACACACTAAACACTACACAGTTTGTTTAAGTCCGGCCTAAATGCTTATTTTACCTGTTTTTCACAAATTAAATTGTTTTTAACTTGAATTGAATTAAATCTAAGAATTTATTAAATCTCCGCTTAACGACCTAACGAATTATTTAACCAATAAACTCTTTCAATCATGCAATTTAATGCATCCAAATATTTCGATGACTTTACAATTTTAAGCAAAAGTTGCAAAAAAATAAGTTTTAAAGTGCATTGAATATTAATCTAAAAGAAAACCTTTCAGATTTAGATTAGAAACGGTGCTTTTTGGTGAAGGCAACATGAAAAACCAAAAAATGTATTTTTTAACATCTTAGAATCTGAAAGTAAAGAAATCCGGTATTTCTACGTGGGACAATTTGTGCTTCTCCATATTTTAAAGAAATATTATTTTATTTTCTAGGTTTTACATTAAAAAAACACAAATGAAAAAACCGCAAGTTTCGTTTAACCATTCTCTCTTAAGTTTCCGGCCCTGATGTCCCCGCCTGCGTATATGTTGTTGTTGTGCTGCGGCATTATTAGATTATTGTTACGTGCAGGAATTAATCAAATTCAACCTCCAAAAACCTAAAACCTTCCTCCCCCCATCCTTAAACCAATCAAACTTTGGAGAATTGCCCGAATGAGAACAATTTTTAAGAAAATTTCATAAAGGGAAGAAAACAGAAAAAAGTTGTATGGTCTGAATGTTGGGTTGAATCTGCAGTATTGGGGTAGAGAAAGTAATTAAACCTCGGGAATTACTGGTTTCCAGTAATCTAGCATTGGAGAAAACACGTGATTTGGAAACTCGGAGAAAAACTAATGTTTTTTTTACTCGAGATTTATGTCCTTTTCCCCGGAGAGTTTTCAATAGTACGCAGAGGTTTTCCTATATTATCCGAAAAGCGTTTTTATCCAGAGTTCTTTTCCAGTCCATAAATTAAAATTCTTTGAGTTCAGTTTTCAAGATCAATTCTATCCTTAAGTTCTGAAAACTGAACTTAAGTTCCATAAAAGCTGCTTAAATTACAAGCTCAAGGTTCTTTTCCTTCTACTCAGGGCCTAAATCTGCAGGGTTTCTTTCTTAGAGCAATCCTTCGGAGAATAAGAGATTTTAAACCTATTAATAGAATCAGTGCCGAATATTTCAGTTAGTTCAAATGTCATTCTTTTGAAGAAAACTTTAACTGAAGCACTCGGAGCTGAGTTGGTTTCGCGGTTTAGATTAGATCTTACATCTTTCCTCTGATCATAGAAGAGGAAATATAATTCATTTTTTTCTCAAAATATAAAACTAAATCTCGGAACCAACCAAACCAACAGAAACCATAGAAACCATAGAATATAGTCACAGTTATAGTCATCAATAGCTTATAGTCACCGGCTATAGTGTTGCCAAAATAAAAATGGAAGTAAAAATTCATAAAATCAATTTTTCAGACATCTTTGCCATTTTTGTTCTGGCGACAAGACTTTTTAAATTAAAATTTTGCTCCTTTATTCTAGACGAACGATGCCGTGGGTAGCGTTTTCAACTGGGTTTTCTTTATCCCACTCATAGTGGTCGGATCATTCTTTATGTTAAACCTAGTTCTAGGAGTACTCAGTGGGTGAGTACGTTATTATACGTTCATACAACGTAATTATTAACGTTTTTTAATAAAAACGTTCGTTTTGCTTTTTTCTTTTCCTATCCCTCCTTCTACTTCTCTAGAGCCGGTTTACCGACCAAACCTATAGTTCGAAGGAAGGTTGGGACGTCTACCTATAGTTCGGAGTAAGGTTGGGACGTAAACCTATAGTTCGGAGAAAGGTTGGGACGTAAATCTATACTCAGAGTAAGGTAGGGATTTAAACCTATAGTTTGGAGTAAGGTTGGGACGTAAACCTATAGTTCGGAGTAAGGTTGGGACGTAAACCTATAGTTCGGAGTAAGGTTGGGACGTAAACCTATAGTCCGGAGTAAGGTTGGGGCGTAAACCTATAGTTCGGAGTAAGGTTGGGACGTAAATCTTTACTCGGAGTAAGGTTGGGACGTAAATCTTTACTCGGAGTAAGGTTGGGACGTAAACCTATCGTTCGGAGTAAGGTTAAGACGTAAATCTTTACTCGGAGTAAGGTTGGGACGTAAATCTATACTCGGAGTAAGGTTGGGACGTAAACCTATAGTTCGGAGTAAGGTTGGGACGAAATCTATACTCGGAGTAAGGTTGGGACGTAAACCGGTGAGAAATCATGAAAATAAGACACAATTCATGATCAATCCCGACATAACTCGGGCTTTTACACTTAGGTTGCTATACAGTCATCACTTTTTACATGGAAGGGAGTAGGACAGAGAACAATGTTTAAAACCCTAGAGATAAAACCGTCCAAGCTTCAAAATAAAAATTTTGATTGAACTTACTTTAAACATTTTCTAATGCTTATTTCTTTTCACCCTGAGGTCGTAGACATTTTATATTTAAATCTGGATCATATAGTGAAAGTTTGAAACAGGTGGTAAAGATATAAGAAGTATAACTTTAGAGTTTGCGACGTGTAATCAGTTTCTATTAAAATAGAACTTGTGAACCAACCCTCGAGTGAATCAAAACAAAAACCTTAAACCTGAGCTCGCAGAAAAGAACTATAATGATTTCGTAGTCAGTAGTTTTCTATAAAACTTGAAATAAGCCTAGTTTGCGTGTTACACTGGAGAATGAAACTTCACCAAGTATAGAGTAACAATGAAATCTATTACATTTGTAAATAAACACAATATTATCCTAAACATGAGAGAAGAGCTTAACAAATCAATAAAACAAAAAATGGACATGGCAATTATTTAAAAATTTAAAACTTTTTTTTGCAGACTTCTTTAAAATAAGAATAAAAATATATTGATAATGCAAGACAAATGAGTTCTCTATCATGGTTCTCTACCTTAGGTCAGGGTCTACTCCAGGGATTTAAATATTTGTTCATCTTTCTATTCTTCAAATACAAGACATTAATCCAAACCCTAATTCCCACACATTTTTTCCTCATATTGATAGTTTATATATATATAATAACAATTTAATTAAAGTGAACACTTTCCACAGCCTTCTTAAACTATCCTTAACTATCATCCAACCCATCCTTATATTGATAGTTTATATATATAATAACAATTTAATTAAAGTGGATACTTTCCGCAGCTTTCTTAAACTATCCTTAACTATCATCCAACCCATCCTTAACAGCCCTCAACTGTCCTAAACTATCCTATCATTCTAGACCATCTAATCCTATTCTGAACCATTTTAAGCATCCTAAACTGTCCCTTTATATACTAAACTTCTCCTAAACCATCGTAATCTCCTCCAAAACCATCCTAAACTCCACCTAGACCATCGTAATCTCCAAAACCATCCTAAACTCCACCTCTTCCACCCTAATCTGATTCACAGCCATCCTAGACTACTAACCATCCGAAACTATCTAATCCTCCTTCTAAACCTTCCTGCAATATCCTAAGTTATTCCAAAGCTAATTTAACCACCTAAAATTATCCTAAACTGTCCCAGCAGATAATGTAACCATTCCAAAATGTCCGAAACTGTCCCAACTACCAATTGAACCAGCCCAACATATCGAAGCTGTCCCAGCGGCTAATTTTGCCATCATAAAATCTCCTTAACTGTCCTAAAAGCTACTGTTACTATCCTTAAGTATCCTTAACTGTCCTAAAACCTAATATAACTATCATAAAATATCCTTAACTGTCCTAAAAGCTAATATAACTATCCTAAAATATTCTTAACTGTCTTAAAAGCTAATGAAACCATCCTAAAGAATCCTCAACTGTGCTAAAAGCTAATATAACTATCCTAAAATATCCTTAACTGTCCTAAAGGCTAATATAACTATCCTAAAATATCCTATCCTAATCTGTCCATATTTCAGTGAGTTTGCGAAGGAGAAGGATCGGGTTGAGAGTAGAGCAGGGTTTCTTCTCCTCAAGGAAGAACAGAAGCTTGAGAAGGAAATGAACGGATACATGAACTGGATCTGTAAAGCAGGTAAATAAACAGTAAACACAAACAAAACCTTTAGGAGACAGACTAACAATGGACTGAATGAAATAAGATATATCTAGACGGAAGTGAAAAGAAAGACAAAAGATGTTTAAGAATGAAAAACAAAATAACAGTTTCTTCTTGCAGTTTTCCTCTTGAGCGAATAACTCCTCGGTTAATCTGTAATGGAAGAGAAAGAGAACTTAAGTTGGAAAATATTTAATTGGATCACCCCCCACCCACCCCTGTAATAGTACAAGTTTATTATTAGAGACAAAAAAAAACTTTTTTTTCTAAACTTCATAATAATTAGAGGCCCTGGGTTAAAATGCGGTGAGTCATAACTTTGAAATCTATTCTTAACCGTAAAATATAGATTTTTCGCGTTTAATGATTTATACTTTTTTGTTTGGCTACTCGTTTCAAACATTAAAGTATTTCCAGCCTTTTACGTTTTTTTATGAATTTCAAATTGTAGATCAAAACTTGACTCATTTTTTGTCTGATACAGACAGGATACCCTTAGCTTTGGTTGGTCTCGCCCTGAGCATTTCAAAGATTTATAAAACTAGCAAAAAAGGAAAACAAGAAATTATTGTTAATATCATTTAAGAAGTTAAATCTCTGTAAGTTAGAAGAATACCTACTTTCAAGACGAGCTGAGTTTAAATTGAAAAGATGCATTAAGAGGGTTAGAGAGAAAGAGAGGAGAAGTTGAAAATTGGTTTTGCTTGGAGAACTTTAAAGCAAGCTGTTTCCCGATTCCTGGAAATTAGTCTAACTTACTCAAATACAGCGGTAGGGTGAGACAAGGGGAGACCTCTTTCTTTCATGGAATGAATTAGATCTGCTCTCTCCAGACTCAGTTTTTGACTGGGCAAATGGGAACCATTAATTAAGGAAACTAATGCTATAAGATAACTTTATAATAAAATACGGTAAGAAAACAAGTAAATTGTACGTCAAACTAAAAGTGTATAAAGTTTTAACTATAACTCCTAAGTATTTAAGAACTATTGAGAAGAACTAAAGAGTTTTAAATTTCTAATATATAATATATATTATATATAATATAAAGTTCACCTAGCTATGTCAATACAATATATAATTTATTTTTCCATTCAACAATAAACAATAATTGAGTATTTTTTCTTCATTAAATACAGAATAAAACAATCAAGAACATTTCTAGATGAATAAATAATAGTAAGGGCAATTATTAAGGTTGTAAAGAGAACCAATTGTTATTTTAAATTATTTTTTCCATTTAGAACTTGTTTTGTTGGGGTTTTAATGTAAACAAACACAGGTTTTATGTATTAGGTTTAATTTGTTTATTTAGCCCCGAGGAGGTTTATTGACACTCTCCCAATAAACGTCTGTTTTTCCTTAAAACATTAAAAAAGAACTTTCTGCAGGGCATTACAAAACCCGTGCGCAGACTCAAAATTAGAGAATAATTCTGAAGTCGGAATCTATGAATGAGAGAGATGTGTTTGAATTAGCTCCTGATTACTTTAATAGTTAAACCACCTCTATTGTTCAGATTGATATAGGTGTCATCAAGACAAGTAGTTGAACCAGTTGTGGGTAGTTCAACTACCTCTCTCGTTCATAAACTGAAAGCTCTGCTTTTTTAAAGATTCTATACTTAATCTATTTTAGACGAGGTTGTGAAGGAAGGGTTAAAAGAGAGTCCATGTTTTATCGGTAATCCGTCAGATGCTCCCTGGGGGGCGAATATGTGTGATACCAATACCTCAGTATGCCTGGAGAAGTGGGCCGGACCCAACGACGGGCTCACCTCCTTTGATAACATCGGACTCGCGATGCTCACGGTTTTCCAGTGTGTTACCATGGAGAACTGGATACCCATCCTCTACTCGGTAGGCTTCCAACATTTTGGAGAGAAAACTTTTAAAAGAAACTGATATCTTGCATCATCCTCTAATTTTTTAATCCTAATATCATTGCAACCTGATGTTGTAAACCTTTGATATTTCATAATGTGAACGATGTTAACTCTGCAAATATGTTTGAAATATCAAATGTTAGATTGTCATTTTGCATAGACATAGGAATTGAATTAGAGTTTTAAGTAAGTAATCAGTTCTTGTACATAAGTGTAGAAAAAGTGGAAAAGTAATAAATTTATTTATTTATCGATTATTAAATGTAATATTGGGTTAAATAACAAATTTGTTTAAAGTTTTCACTGTTTTTCTCAAATATATTCTGTATATAATAATTTTACAATATTCACAAAAATAATTATGCGTAAGTGGTGTTTCTTTAAAATGCCATTTTGCGTCACAAATTAGTCAAATTTTGATTTGGGTTTCCTCAAACTACTCAGGGTTTGGCTCAATAAAAAATTCGAAATCAGTGGTATTTTATTGGCAGACATTGCTCTAGTTCAATACGAATATTAAAGTTTCAAACGTATTGCAACTTGAATATATTTTTTTATAACTTTCCTATTTCTTAAATGGAAAAAAGCTTTCTATTCTTTTATGAAAAAACTTTCTATTCTTTTAGTTATAAGCTGTAAAAGATTATGTAAAAGTTGTTCTGATAAGTTTTAACACAAATCAGTTTTCCTTGTCCAGCTTACAGAAAAACTTTCAAATGTAAATCATATAAAAATTTAATTTATTATGTTTGACAGATTATTTTCAGGTTTACTTATATATTTCAGGCGAACGATGCAGTGGGATTCGTTTTTAACTGGATTTTTTTTGTTCCTTTGATTACTATTGGTTCGTTTTTCATGCTAAACCTTGTTCTCGGGGTTCTCAGCGAGTGAGTGAACTAGAAAACTAGACAGTTGGACAGCTTGACAGCTAAACAGCTTGACAGCCAAACAGCTTGACAACTAAAAAGCTTACCAGCTAGACAGCTAGATAGCTTGATGACTAGAAAGCTGTCTGCAAGATATCTAGATAGCTAAAAAGCTATATGGCCTGACAGCTTAATAGCTTGATATGGCTACACAAATAGACAGCTAGTCGGCTAAATAGCTAGATAGTTATATATCTTGACGGTTAGAAAGTTGTTTTCTAGATAACTAGACAGCTAAATAAGCTAGATAACCAAACAGATAGACAACTGTAGAGCTAGACAGCGCAACAGCTAGCTTAATAAATAGCTTGACGGCTGTCCAACTATCCAGATAAAGAACTAGTTTTAGTTGATGTCATAGAGATATTGCGAATTATTAGATTTACTAGGATATAGCGTCAGATCATAGAAGTGCTGCTAACATTTTCATCCAATCTTAGGATTGGTATAGATGATATAGATCTGATAGGAATAGTGACTTTCCCTTTCTCATACTTGTGCGTAAGATCAAAACTAGCGGAGGTACGTGATGTGATAAATTAATATTACTCTAGTCTACATATATCGGATAATCAAGGATGGGACGGATTTACTAAATTCGTACCGGCCCAGTCCTATACCCGTACTACATAGGAATTGATTCCGCTTCATGATGGTTCAACATTTTGCCTAGTTTGGGGTGATAAACTAAACAGTCAAATATGTATTTTTTATTTAACGGTTCAAATTTAAACAATTAAAAAAAACAATTTTTATGTCTTAAATTAGAAGTGTCTATATCTCATAAGTATTCACATTGGTTTTTATAAACTTGATAAATACATTCTTAACTTTCTCTAAAATATTCAACCTACTCAACTGAAACATTCTCCTGGTCCTAACGAGCTCTTGAGGCAAATCGGTCCCGGGGTTCCTGAGTTATAATCGGACAAACAAACAAACAAATAGAGAGACAAACAAAGATGGCAACTTTATATTTATATAGAAAGACATAAGTTGTGATAGAAAGAATCCTGGATAGAATTGTGTAAACGTATCTGAGAGAAAGTAGAGACAGAGAATATTGTTTCTAACTTTGTTAAGTAACTTTCAGAAGGATTACATGTGTTCGTAAGATAGGGATTACATATGTAAGATGGAGGATTACATTTGTAAGATAGAGGATTACATATGTAAGATACATCTGTAAGATAGAGGATTAAATATGTAAGATATAGGATTAGATATATAAGATAGAGGATTACATATGTAAGATAGAGGATTACATATGTAAGATAGAGGATTACATTTGTAAGATAGAGAATTACATTTGTAAGATAGAGGATTACATTTGTAATATAGAGGATTAAATATATATAAGATAAAGGATTACATATGTAAGATAGAGGGGTGCATATGTAAGTAAGAATATTACATATTTAAAATAGATAATTACATATGTAAGATAGAGGATTAAATATGTAACATAGAGTATTACATTTGTAAGACGGTTTTGTATTTAAGATTGAGAAAGATGATAAGATGATTACATTATAAGGAGAAGGGGAGATAAGATAAGATCGCATTTTAAAAATCCCAAACATTAGGATTGACGTTTAATTTTTTCAGAGGATTTAGTTCTAGCAGAGGAAAGAACAAGCAAGAAGGACCGACAAAGGATTATGGAAGGTGTGTATCCTTCGTTAATCATACTTTTTAAAAAGATTTCTCGTGGGAAACCCCGGGTTATCAACCTTCTGTACATTACATTATTGTGCATGTAAGTACAGTCCATAATAAATGCTCTTGTACGAAGCTAAGACAAAAAAAATCCTATCAATTATCTTTTTGAAATGATTTGTAGATTTTATAAATATTTACAAATCCGTTACTCATTTTGCCCCGATTTCAACATAAGAAACACATTTTATTTCGTGTGAAAATACTAATACAACTTTGCATCCTCGTAACACCTCATTATAAATAAAAACGAAAGAAAGACAAACTTTTTTATGGCTGCAAATCATGACTTCAAAAAAATATGTTTTATATTAGTGATTTTTGAGATTTTGTGTCATTCCCAAAACATATTGAATAATATTTTTCTATTTATCAATCTTGTTTCCCCCCCCCCTTCACTTATTGAATATCCCTATGTTTTTGTTTCCTTCCTTTTTTCTATTTCTGGTTTGTGTTATTCAGCTCTATGGTTTCTTGTCATTTCTGCACACGGGATTATATTTGATACTATTGTTTTTATGGAGACTGGATTATATTTAATCTTAATGTATTTCTAGCTGCATACGGGATTATATCTAATCAAAATGTTGTCATGCGCATATGTAATCCCCTGGCCCTAATACATTTATTCATACAGGATTATATTTAATTCTAATGTGATTATGCAGACTGGATTATGTTTAATCCTATGTATTTATGCATACGGATTATGTTTAATCCTAATGTATTCATGCATATGGGATTATATCTGATCCTAATGTATTTTTGCATATGGGATTATATCTGATCCTAATGTATTTTTGCATACGGGATTATATCTGATCCTAATGTATTTTTGCATACGGGATTATATCTGATCC